AGCTGACCTCGTTCACGAGTTTCTAAGATGGTTTGAGCCGGCGAGATCCGGCGTAAGAAAACGGCGGTTTTCAAACCTTGCGAGTTGACTCAGTGAGTCAACTCACTGGGTTGACTTGGTCGAGTTGACTCAGTGAGTTGACTCGGACGAGTTGACTCACTGAGTTAACTCGGTGGTTTTTTTCTTTTTCTTTTTACTCGGAGATTTAGCGACTCGACGGCTCGATGAAAAGGCTAGGTTTACGGAGCAAAACTGACTTCGATCGTTGCTTATTGGTGCAGCTGAGAAGAGAATTGAGTTGCTTCTTTGTTGCTTTGGAGTTACTTCGTTGAATTTGTCACAACAGATGTCAGACAATGCGAGGAAACTATATGCTCATGAGAAGAGAACTGTCGAGGCCAGGATAGAGTCTAACGCAAGTGTGTCTCAGCAAGCTAGACCGATGATGTCAGTCCCCAGAGTTGACACTACTCAAACCGTTGCACCTAGGTCGCGTCGTTCTGAGTTAGAGCGAAATGTTGTTGCCATCATTGATTGTCATTCTGAGTCATCGTATAGGCGTCATGATAACGTGAGGAGAAGAGATGACGGCTTGGAGGCAAGCCGCCAATGTTCCCGAGAAGACAAGGGCAGAGATGTTATTGACAGAGAGGATCCGCATAGATCGAGGCGCGCCGCAACTTCTCGATGTGATCACGTGGCGACGGATCCATCATTTCCCTCCGGTTCAAAGGGATCATTTCGCAGTGCTGCCTGGCGGTGTCACATCTGTCAAAGATTATCTTCCCAGGCATCGAGTTTCCCTTCTAGAAGAAATGTCAAGGAATAATTCTTACTCAAGCATGGCCTTCAGTGTATGACAGTATGACTTCTCGATGACTCCTATATGGCAATGGTTTTCTTTTTCCATCTCCTTTGATACTCTAATTCGTTTTCTGCGATATTTTTACTTTGCAGTTCTTTTCTTCGCTGAACAAGCTCGTTATTGACTACGAGGTGACTGCTCGTTCGCAGACTTGTCAGCTTGCTAATGTTTGGAAGGCTTGTGATGACTTTAAAAAGCAAAAAGTACCGAAGACCACGGCGCTGATCTCAAAGCTGCCGTAAAGGAAACCGAGGATAGGCGTCGCGCGATGGATGGGACGTTTACAAAGTTAGAAGCTGAGAAGAGGCGCCTGAAGAAGGAAGTTGTTGATCTTACCAACCACTTAAATGTTGCTACCAAGCTTCAAGATGCGGTTTGCAGAAAGCTGTGGAAGAAGCAAAGCGCAAACTGGGACCGTGCTAGAAAGAAGGTCGGAGCGATCAATGACCAGCCAAGGAAGGATATAATTGATCTTGCCGAAATTCGGAGTAACATTGAGTTTGTCGAGTTACTTCAGAGTGACAAGGCGCCTGACCTTGGTGATGAGCCCGTTGCTCTTAAGGAGCAGGAGGTGGGACTGGTACTTACTGCAAGGTGTTTACTAATCATGTGCACGAACTTGAGGAGATCCTTGAGCCTTCTCCCATTAGTGCAGTCGACTGTCAAATTAATGAGTTGGATGCTGTTTCGGATTCGAGTTCTTCTGATTCTTCGAGCGAAGATGACTCGTCAGACTCTGCGGCTGAGGGTCGTTCCGAGCAAGCCGTTGAGATTGTTGATGAAGATGAGAAGATCACGTCTTAGTTTTTTGTCTTGGTGCTTTGTCGTACTTTTTGTTTTCAGACTTAGTATTTGATTCAGTTTCGATGGTGTTTATCCCTTTGTTTGGATGTGTCATTATTTATTGAGATAAAATTTATGAACGCACCTTTTATGATTCTCGTTCTTGTCTTTTGGATAGACCGTTTTGTTGCTAAGTTTTTAGCCCGTGATACTGATGAGCCTGACTGCTTATTTGACAAGCCCATGACTTGTTTATATTTACTGATTTTGACGCCGTCTATGGTTTGCCGACGAGTCGTCATGGACAGCAAGCTATTATTAATCTACTTTCGAAGATTGGCTACATTGTTGTTGGGACCAGCGATAAGCTAGGTGGGTTTTAGGATGATCATTTCAGTTGATGGGCGAGTTCGGGTTGATGCATCTGCTCTGAAAACGGCCGCGTTATTGCATAATGACCAACGATTAAGTTGTTGGGATTTCTGATGAACTTCTTGGTATACAGGCGAGCCTCTATCGACGCGCCCGCTCCAAGAATGAACACGTTATTGTGTAAAGACCAACGATCTGTTTGTTGGGTTTTCTGGTAAATTTCTTGGTTTACGGACGAGCCTCTGTCGACGCGTCCGCTCCAAAAATGAACACATTATTGTGTAAAGACCAACGATATGTTTGTTGGATTTTCTGGTGAATTTCTTGGTTTACGGGCGAACCTCTATCGATGCGCCCGCTCCAAAAATGAACACGTTATTTTGTAAAGACCAACGATCTGTTTGTTAGATTTTCTGATGATCATTTCGGTTTATGATCATGTATTACATCGACACGGCCGCTCCTATAATGAACACATTATCGCGTAGAGACTAACAATTTGTTTGTTGGGTTTTTTGAATGAACATTTCGGTTTACAGACGTGTATTACAACTACACGGCCGCTCCTATAATAAATATTTTGCGATGATACCAGCGAGGGTTGCTGTGTTTTAAAGCAATCACTTTGGTTTATGACCATGTATTACAACGACATAGCCGCTCCTATAGTGATTACCAATTTATATAGCGCGTTTAACCCGTGGTGGGTGTAGAAGTCAGATCTGGATGATGAAATAAGTTCGTTGCTGTGGCCAGCAGCGACGGTGATAGAGTCTGATTAAGTTAAGACTTAAGTAATAAATGATGGACGTAAATGAGATGCAAATAAGAAGTAAGCAGATCCTTGATCTTTATTAATCGTAACATTTTTTTCAG